AATGTAATAAATTTACATAGTTTTTTGTATTTATTCTTTCATAATTATAAACTAATAAAAAATCAGTTAGTGCAATTAAATTTTTTGAAGTTTACAATTAGTTAATAAAACATGCATTGAAAATGTAAAATATAAATATCTTAGAAATAGTTTTTTTCCAGAATATGTATTTTTAAGGAACGGAAGGAGTAGTATTTTTGTAGTTAACATGTTAGTTTTGTGGTTAGAACACCTCCAATAGTGTAATATACATCTTGGTTTCTTAGTGATAAAAAAATATTAATATTTTAACAAGGGTTTAATTTTTATTTAATTTTGAATTTTATAAAAAGATGAATCAATTAAATAATCAATTAAATATGGACATGGACATCTATAGTAAAAAAATCTAAGATAGTTCTCCAATAACACAATTACTTATTGTTTGATTCTTCAATTTTTTTAATTGATAGAAACTCCATTTAAAAACTACAGTTGGAGTTGGCCTTACACCTAATCGCAGTTGTCTCTCTTTTTCTGTCACCTGTAAATGTGTAATTTAAATATTCTATTGTCCATTCTAATGCATTATCTAACAAACACAAACTCATATCTTTTCTTTTTTTGTTAGAGCTTCGTTTCCCCTTTGGCAATTCTTGGGCTTGATCTAAGTTTTGGTTTAGTCCATATATATCCTCGAGCATCAGTTTCTCGTACATTTAAGTTGCAGATATATTTACATGTATCTATAATGTTATAAACAAAAACGATCGTTGGAGAGGGTCTCGAAGAGATAAACCATTGCTATATGAACCAAGAGTGTTTTCGGAGACACTACGCACACGTCCTCTAGCTATCTCCAATGTGGTGAATCAGAGCACCAAATTCCGGTCTTTCACACACTTTTATCAAAAATTCAAAGAAATGGCAAGCTTTCGCATGTATGCTTACCTTGCCCTATGTTATACAGTGTAATAGAGTGTATAGACATCTTCTACTGTCTTTTAAAATACTTGCGAGTTTACCATCAAATATTTTTATATCTTCTTATGGAATATAGTGTATAGAATGGCTGGAATGGATTTTCAAATTTCTTCTTTAGACATAACAGCTTATATGTGGCAACCCAATAAAAACACAAGTCCGATAAATTTTCACAGTAACAGAAATAACTCCATAATAATAAATAAATTAAAGAAAATAATTGTCCATGTCTACGGTCACAGGTCACTGGACAGATGTGGCAAATCATTTATTGCTTGTTTTCAGACGTGTTTGTTCTACCTTAATTTGTTTACTTTCTACCTAAAAAATCACTATTGCAAATTCTATTAGTTTCCCTTAGCTTTTACAGAATCCCCAATACATTATTTTAGAATTTGACTTGAATGTGTCATCACATTTTGAAAAATAATGACATGACATATTAAAAATGAATAATATAATTTAAATTAATTATGACATAAATATTTACATTTAATGTTGATTTATATTTTTGATAAATTTTTAAAATAATATGATAACTCATAAATTATTATAAAAGAATAATAAATAATATAATAGTAAAAAATATAATAATAATTTATAATTTTGAAAACTATTATTTAATTATATATATTTTTATTAGTAAAACAATTCTTCAAAATTGTATGTAGTTTTTAAAAAAATATAATCTCAGTATCATTAGTTTTTATTTGATTATCTACATATTTTAAAAATATAACTTTATTTTTAATAAATATATACCTAAAAATTTCTCTTAATTTTTATAAAATTTTATTTAATATATTGTAAACAGAAGAAACAGATTAAAAATATTTAGAAATTTGGAATAAAAATTATTTTTATTATCTTACTTTTAAATATAACTAAATTAAAATTTACGGATAAATATTGTAAGTAAATAATATAGTTTAAAATTAATATAATTTTATTTTAAAATCCAATTTTAAATTTTACAAATTTTATTTCCGTAAATTGTGAAGAAAAATACCTAGTTAATTATGACTTATGAGTGTGAATAGGTGATACAAAATTGCAAGAATTTTAATACCGAAGAGAACCATAAGAGATACCTAAAAGACACAAACGGAAAACTAGATATATATCATCTCTAATATTCTATTATTTTAGTCATTTTCTCTACTCGTAATCATAACAGATTTTATAATTATTATTATTTTTTGAGAATAGCTATTTTTCAGCTAAGAAAAAGGTTCTATAAACATGTATTAAAACGATCCTAATACACGTTGTATAAATAGTTTAACAATCAAACCCTTAAATAGCTTATGTCCAACAATCTTGTTGACATGTTGTGGTCATTTATCCGCCTATAAAGAAAAGGGTAGTGTTCTCGCTAGTAGTAGTAGAGTGTCATCAAGTCTCCATCCACCCTTACCTAACCATCTCATTTCTCAAATTTCACTATGCGAGGCTCCTGGTTACACGAAGCACTCTCTTCTCATATATTTATATCCTAAGCTCGAAACTATCATATCTTGATGAATTTAATTGAATACAATAGATGAATATTTATTGTTGTTTGTATGCTTATTAATTTTTTTAGTCGTCTTTTTCGTTAAAAGAAAAGTCATTTAAGAAAATCAAATGCGGTCTAAATCAAGAAACGTGGCCTTGGGATTTACCCAAATCCCATCCGTCTCCATCTGCATTCCTTGGGAGTTGGAACAGCAACTTATTAACCTAAATTTGCTTATTTACCTAAAATGGTTTGACTGCGCACACAAAATGCATAAAATAAAATGATGTAACTGTACGGCAGCAGATTGTTGAATTTACATGCGTATCTTTATTTAACTATTTAAAAAGATATATGATTTATCGATCCAAATTAATCAGTTGAATTTTGATAGTTAATTAATATGACGGATAGTTGATTTTGTGAATAACGGTAAAGGACAAAACTATAATAAAAGAAGCAGTCTGTGAGAAGTATATATTACCAACGAATATTGTATCCAAGTGACCATAACACACCGTATTATCATCAACCAACATTGTGAACCACATACCTTACCTACCTACCATCCGCGTGTACTCTCCAGCTACCACGATTAACGAAAAACATATGGACCATAGCTTCCGAATGGTCGGCTAGTATTCAAATGACTGATTTTTCTAAGAACAGTAGTTCATTAATGGTGATTTAGCTTTGAAGACTTTTAATTTTTAAATGATAGCATGTGTTATAAATTTCTTTATTTCTCTATTTTTTATTTTCTCTTTCAGCGTTCCCACCAAAAAAGGAAAGAAAGTAAAGGCATGATTAAACCCGTTTTTTTCGCCGGGTTCTTAACTCCTACTTTGATATTTTTTTGTTTTTTTTAAAAAAAAATTTCCGCTAAAAACGGTTTATATCTCTTATTTAAGAGATGGTTTTAATTTTTATTAGTTAAAATCTAAGAAAAGCTAAAAGCTATGTTTTAGCGGAAGCTAAAAATTCCAATTAAAAAAACTAGGGTTAATGATAATCTAACAGAAAATAGAGTCTCTCAGAGGACAAAGATCTTCAAAAAACCTATTCTGAAAACATTAAACATCTAGATCTCAAACAAAGTTTAGAAAACCAAAAAATAAGAATGGAATGCAAGGAAATGGACCTGTACCAGTAGAAAACACCAGCATGATTGACTTCTAACTTATGGAGTATATAATGTTTGCTTAACAAACAAACAAAATGTTTGCTACAAATACAAAAGTCTAACTTACGTTTTATACTTTCTTTTTTTACTTTACATTTTTTTACGAACGACTCTATAGAGATATTTAGCTACCTTTCAAGTTTATCAATCAAACCTCACGAACCAGAAAGCTCACCTACCAGGCTACCACTCGACACTGCCTCTTCCGGTTCCAACCTTTTCTACGTAAATAAACGCATTGATGGTTTCTCTATAATATTCGTATATTCCAAGTGGTGATGGGATCCATAATTTTCCTATAGAAAAAAACACGAATCTTAACAGATTAATGTATACTGTAATAATTTACAGTGTCTTGTTATTATTTTACAATAGCTAGGGATGATAAATGGGGTTTCCGTAGGGTATATGTATGCTGTTACCTAATTATATTTTTAGCTCGTTTATAAGCTAGCCACGTACATTAATTTAAAATATCAAAAGAAATTTAGCTCATTATCCGATACTTGTATATATCAAAAGAAATTATGCCTCTCACTAACCTAATGGTGCAAGCTGGGTGGTAAGTGTCAATCTAAATTTCGTGACATTTTCAGATTGTATTATATTCCCACACCGAACTTGGAACGATGTTCATTTCTGAACTAAAAACTTGTTTCGATGATGTGGGAGCTCCTTTGATATGGTCTTCGATGTTCGGTGTTTAGTATTTAAACTTCAATATGAAGAGACTAGACTGATGGTATTTTAGGAAGAAATTTTCCTTCTTTTCATATAAAACAGAACATTATAAAAGTAGTATTTGTGCTCACGTAAAGCCCGGTTACAAAAAAACACAAAAGAGCACGTGTTCACGTACACGGTATGTGTATGTGTATGTGTATGTGCTGATAAATATAGAAAAATACTGTAAAATAACTCACAAAAGATAAAATTCTTAATATTTGATTAATTAAAATTCAGAAAAAACTTTATTTTAAATTAGGATTTAGTATTTAGGACATGAGATTAGAGTTTAGATTTAACGCTTAGAATAAGTTTAATCATTTCACCATTTAATTAATATTATATTAGATTTTCTTCTGTGTATGCTACTTTTTCATACTATATATATATATATATAAATATATAGTTTTAATATCTGAAACACATAAACGCCATAAGCTAAAAATCTTATTCCGAACCAGAACCGCACTAAACCGTATCATAAATATGAGAACTAGGCCAGAGATCAATTATTATGTTAAACAAATTTATACCTAACCGAGACATGCATGGGTCGATCAAGAAAAGAAAAAAAAAACATTATCTTATATATAGCTTATGCTTCCCATTCCTCATTTCCCACTTACCATTCAAACCCAACACTATGACTAATCTCTTCCTCACAATCCTTCTCCCCACTTTCCTCTTCCTCATCGTTCTCATCGTCTCTCGCCGCCGCAACAACCGTCTCCCTCCAGGTCCAAACCCATGGCCCATCATCGGAAACCTCCCTCACATGGGCCCTAAACCCCATCAAACACTAGCCGCCATGGTAACCACATACGGCCCTATACTTCACCTACGGCTAGGGTTCGCCGACGTTGTGGTTGCAGCCTCTAAATCCGTGGCCGAACAGTTCTTGAAAATTCATGATGCCAATTTCGCTAGCCGACCACCTAACTCCGGAGCCAAACACATGGCATATAACTATCAAGATCTTGTCTTTGCGCCTTACGGACAACGATGGAGAATGTTGAGGAAGATTAGTTCTGTTCATTTATTTTCAGCTAAAGCTCTTGAAGATTTCAAACATGTTCGACAGGTAATATTTAGTTATAAACGACATTCTCATTTTTTCTAACGCTATAGCTCACCTATAGATTTTTTAACCTTGTCGTTAATTTCTATGCATGTGTCGAAACAAGTTTTTTTTTTTTTGTCAAAAGAAACAAGTTTATTTTATATATAAGTAGCTATGGCATTAACTCTGGTATTTAACAAAATAAATATAGAGAAGTATAGTGGTTTCTTATAATATAGCTCTATATAATTTGATAAAAAAACCTCTATATAATATTCGTATCTCTATAATATTATTTGAGAAGTCAGTTTCTTATGTGTCGTTCTCACGTTCATTCTCACGATGGTTAATTACATTGATACCCTTAATGAATTAAAAATAGTTGAAACTATTATTATTAATTTTATTTTTAGTTTTTCCTTTTCAAAAATTTCCAAAAAGATATGTAATAAAAAATAATTTTTTATAAAGTCATAAAAAACAAATTTAAAACGAAAATATATGTATATATAATATGATTTCATAAAAAGGAAAATTGAAAAAATAGTAATAATACATTTAAAATATTTTTAAATAACATAAAATATGTATATATAATATAATTTCATAAAAAAGGAAAGTTCACAAAATAGTAATAATACATTTAAAAATATTTTTAAATAACATAAAATATACTTTAAGAAAAATAAAATAGTTTATAATTAGTATTATTGAATTTTTATTTATTTTCATATATTTAGTTG